ATTTGAAACATTAGATAGATTATATAAACTGTAAAATATTAATAATAATTTGATTAATATTATTATTAATAGTTTTAATGATTTCTACACTGTCAGTCCTTTTTTTCTGCTCTGTTGTCAACATGTACAGTAATGGGAAATCCAGACTCTTGCCCGTTTAGCGTTAGCCGTTAGCTTCTCCAGCTGTTCTATAGAACCTCCTTGAGTACAACCAACTATTAACAACTACATAGCCTGTTAGCTTGCTAACGCTAGCTGATTTGCCAATATTTAGCATGTCCAGTTAGCCCATTTCCTAACAGTGTCTTCACAGCTAAATATTTGGTCAAAATTGGTTCAGCCCTTATATCACATTTTAGTCAGGTTTGCAGAAAGAAAGAAAAAGGTCAAACCTAAAACACATTAAATCAGCTAGGCTTTTGTTCCTGAACTGTTCCCATTTAGAAGTAATCCTGAAACTTCTTAATTACGTCTTCTTGGCAGCATGACAGCTCAGTGGTTAGCACTGATGTCTCACATCAAGAAGGTCCTGGGTTCGTTTCCTGGTTTGGACCCGTGATCTGTCTGTGTGGAATTTGTGTGCTTGTGTGGGTTTTCTCCGGGTTTTCCAGTTTCCTCCCACAAATCCAAAAACCTCAACATTAGGCTGCCTTCAGGCCTGGGCCTCCMTTGCTAAACAAATCTGTGACCTCAATGGGATTTGCCTGGTTGAATAAAGGTAAATAAATAAACGTAAATTCTTATTGGCAGCATAAAAGTTTCACAACAAAAATTAAATGTGTAATAGAAACGTGAGGAGMACTATCTTCTCATGAACTAGACGCGCCTCACTGCCAACACGACAAAATAGGTACAAACTCCAAATGATTAAACAAAGTCTGACAGGTTGATTCGAACCAAGAAAAGTGGTTGTTTACATCCAAAATCAAACTACAAATAATCGTTAGTGAGAGTTTGCTTAAAATACCAGAAAAAAAAGCTGTGAGTTCAAAAGTGGATTTGCATGGTGGCGACAGTATCATGGTTATTGGGATGTTTTTAAACAAGATGTTCAGGAAAACTGGTCATTGAGGAAAAGCTGGTTAAACTCAAATTATCTTTGAGGAACACAGTTTCCGGACCTTTCAGACTTCAATCTTGTCTCAACCCCCTCCAACAAGCTTAAATGAGTCTGCAGAGAAGACCCCCACACAAATCAAGAACCTGAAGATCTGTAAGAGATGCTGACGGTTCTGCACATTCCTCTTTTTTTTCTCAGTTTAACACGCTAACTTTATAAAGTAACGTTAAACCGAGTCTCAACGTAATTCTGTCATCTGTTAAACCGCACTCCACGGCTGTGGATTTTCAGTAGAAATGTCTCGGTTTGCAGCGCCCGGGTCAACAAACAGCTTGACAGCGTCGCGCCAAGAAGCCACACAGCTGCTTTGGCTGCGGATGCGTAAAACGCCTCTGGATCACAGGATCTGGCACGATTTCTTTTTCTTTGTCAGCTGCAGATCCAGATCCAGCAGCAAAGCCAGGAAATTCCTGTTGGGGTAAATGGCCCTCTTCTGGATCAGTTTCTGCAAAGCCTGTTTGAGCGGAAGGCGGTGGTAGATCATGAGGTAGGCCAGCACCAAGGTCGACGAGCGGCTCATTCCCATGATGCAGTGCACCAGCACCTTCCCTGAAGAACAATACAAAGGGAGAAAAGAGGAAGGATTAGTAAGAGCCTCATTAATATCATACATGACTGCCCGTCTCCCACTGTGGACTGTCTCGTTTTTTTTTTTTTTTTCCCTGTTTTGAGCTAAAAATAGAGCCAACACTTCCAAGACTTTGTTCATTTATGTCCCTTTGCAGACAGGCCGACTGTCTCATTAATCCCAACTCGTCCTCTGCTTGATAGCTTCTTTCAAAGAAGCTATTACATACTTGAAGTCTGCAAGGTAAGACTCTTATTACTGCCAGCAGAAAATGCATTTATACCCCCCAGAACATAAGTGTTACATTGTGGTGACAGGTGACATTGAAAGAGCAGCACGATGTGAGGATTTGAGCAGATGCTTAACTCTATTAAGGATTTACAGTGAAACGAAAGATTTGGTAAGTAGGGAAAAAATAATTCTTACCGCCAGGTGACTTCAGAGCTTTATGAATAAAATCTGCCGCGGGCTGAAAGTAAACATCCAGATCAAAGTGAGTCGAGTCGTCTGCTGGAATGCCAAAATACACAAAGTCGTTGCCATAAAAGCCTTGGTTCCCTACGCTGCCTCGCTTGGAGTGAGCAGCGTTTAACACATGAGTTATACCTAATTTCAGCAGGGCGGCCTTGTTTTGGGCTACTGCCCTGGCAAAAGACACAAACAGAAAGAAATTCAAGACTCGTGTGGGACTTATGCATCACAGCAAAACTGATTTTTATGCCAGAATGATTCAGCGCGTGGAAGGGGTTACTTCAAAGTCTGTTTGAAACAGCCGAACATGACTTGAAGAGCGAACGTGTTAATTCTTGAATAAAACGCATACTTACACATTTCCTATGTATATGTTGGGCCACACTTCATCGATTTGATTGAGGTGTAGCTTACATGAGTCCAAAACCTTCTGCAGGTCCTTCACAGTCAGGTATTCTTTTCTCTTGTCTTTCATGGTTGGCATTTTTTAGGTCCAAATCTCTCGTCTTGGATCAACTGCCAGCCAAAATGTTTTGTCGTATTAAAGCGGTCTCAGTCTTCCTCCGGCTCCAGATGATCGGTACGAGCAGGTGCCGTCACTGGACCGTTACCCAATCTGGTGCCTAACCCGGCGTGTAGTCTTACTCGTTCAGAGGGCAGAACAACAAACACACGCAGCTCAGGCTCTGCCTTTCCACTCTGCCGCGGGACTCATTTAATAAGCCTCAAACAGCCATGATTTATTTTATAAGGCAGTGATAATTGGGCGTAATTATGGTCATATTGTTCAAATTGACGGCTTACGTTGGGTACAGCTCTGCTTTTATGGAACAGAAATGCTCCAGCAGCTTTGTGTGGCTCGTTATGATCCTCTGGTGAAAGCAAAAATGAGTAAAAAAGCAAGAAACAAATATAAGCTTTAATGATGGCTAAACAGGCCTTCGTACGGTGCAGATGTTACTTTTCATGTTGCAGGTCAGTTTAATTCATTTCAGCTTTTAAAAATGAAGAAAAAAATCATTCATATCACTTTAACACCACACACAATATATATATTTAATTTGTTTTTCATTAAGGCTGTGGATGTGTATGTAAAAGGTAGGTGTGTTATAAAATACCAGAACTGCAATACAAAATCAGTCAATACATGTCTCTGGGTTGTTTTTGACCTGCAGAAAGTTATCGACTGATTATTAAAATGTTTGTATAATGAGACAAATCCCTCCCGGAGTGTAGGCTTCAGGAAACTTAATGTTGATCATGTTTCGTAACCGCTGAAGTTGTTTCAAGTGGAACTGAAGCTCGGAAGGGTTTTGTATGTTTTTCTGTGSGAAAAAAAACAAGAAGAGCTCCTTTCTGAAATAAAGGGAGCTTCACAGAATTTATGAAGCAAGAGTTTGCTTTTGTTTACGACAGCACTGGTGTTGTTGTGTTGTGGACACACTGTTTAAATCCTCAGACAGCARAAGAACTTAATCCAACAAACTAAAAAAAGAAAAAAAAACTTTACAGAGTTGTTTGCACTTGCTGATGAATTTTGTTTTTCTATTGCACATTTAAGACGACTGAGCTGCAGGGAATCATGAACAATGGTTATCAGCCTCTCAGTTATGAGTCACAAGACTCGTTCCACCAAAATGCACCACAGGAGGTCCTTCCTACCACTGACCATCAGACTCTACATGTCCTCCCTAAACATGTGAAACGTTGGGYCATCTCTCACTTTATTCCATCTGTGCATTTTACTCTCTTAACATTATCTCTTCTTATATCATCCTCTATCATATAGAACATTTTTCACCAAATTGTAATGTTTATATTTTTGTTTCTACTTCGACTTAATTTTAGTCCGATTATATGTCCATAAGTGTGTTTAGACTAGGGGTGCCTGAATTTTTTACCCAAGAGGGCCAAAATAAAAATCTATCCAAGGGCTGCTGGTCAAATGCAATAATATAATAATGTAAATGCAAATACTTTTTACGTACAGTCATTTAAATTTTTTATGATTAAGCTAGGAGCCAGTGTGGTGTCCCACGTTTTTTTTAAGTCCGTGCACCTGGAGAATGTTTGACCTGATGCTCGAGCTGCAAAGGCTCATGGGACATTTCATAAGTGGATCAAATYGGAGTATTGTGGTCTTATAAATTGTTCAAATCGACGTTTGCTGAAATATAGTCTAAATGCGGTATCTCATTTGTTACTTTTATTYAATGTTTAGTCTTAATATAATTTAAATATAAAGTCATCTATCTGCACTACAGCCTCTTACACAGCCATTGAGCCAGTGGATGGATTGACTGTGGAAATACAGTGTTTCTGCAGAGGACTACAGGAGATTACARCCTAATAACCAGGGCAACTGTTGGTGGGCCACATCAGATGGCTTGGTGGGCACCTCTGGTTAGACTTTATTTGTTTTCTAGTGTGCTTATCTTGTATTCTCTAACTATTTTTACTCAAACAAATGTAATTTCCCTCGGTAATCAATAAAGTATTCTGATTTTGATCAAAGTTCAAGCCAAATACTACCAAATATACAAACAATATAAACAATACAAACAAATAAAATAAGAGAATTTTTATTTTCTGTGCAAAAATACGTTTTGATTTTTGAGCACTGAATGACTTTACCAATATTTGCCAAACAGGCCGAAACTGAATTGTTTAGGCAAAAAGAAACAGAGCACTAGCTTAAAGGAACACATTGCGAGCTAAAAGCTAAAAATAGCTAATGCACTCAGATGAAACAAGTCGTTTGGATCATAGTTTTGACTTTTCGTCACTCCGAGCTCCCTTTGGACACCCGCTGATAACACGAAGGTGCAAACAGGCTGCACGACTCTCATCAAACAGCATTTTTTTTCTTTTCACTCCTGAAACAAACAGCTTAAAGTCAAACGACCAGCATCTCCCTCCGCTTGCTTTGTTTGTCTGCAGGAAAACTGATGCTCAGGTTCATTTATGAGCTGAAGCCTTGTGCAGTTTCACATCCAAAGCTCGAAGCTGTCTGAGGAACCCCCTGTTTGGGAAAATCCACCTGTGCTCTTTGACTTTATTGATGGCCTCTAACAGGGTGTAGCCGTGGTGGATCATCAGGTAGGCCAGGACGAGRGAGGCAGACCTGCTCACTCCGACTGCGCAGTGAACTAAAACTCGAGCTGAACAAGAAGAAGAAGAAAAGAGATGCAGTGAATTCAAAGCATGTTTTGACTTTAAGGGGAGTGTTTCTCATTGACATGATTGACTTGTATAAATCCTGACATTGAGTCAACATGATTTACCACCATCTGCGTCGAGCGCTTTCTGAATATAGTCAGCGGCGGGCAAGAAATAGCCAGAAAGGTCAAAGGTTGGTGAATCATCTGCAGGGACTCMGTAATAATCCACTGAGGGTCCATAAAAGTCATGACTTCCCTGACAGAACATCCTCCCATGAGCTGCATTCACAATATGAGTAATTCCCAGCTTCCATAGACTGTRGCGATCATTGGCGACTGACCTGAGGTCAAAGGAAATCAGAATTTATAATCCGAAATAGAAAAAAAAAACATGTATATAAAACTTGGACTGAACACTTACATGTCCCCAATGAAGAGGTTAGGCCAAACTTCATCCTCATGGTTTCCAAATCTTTTCCCACCAAACAAAACCTTCTGCAGCTCTTTCACAGAGGGAGGACTGTCCCGTATATTGTTCATTTCTAATTAAAAGTCACATTTATGCACCCACAAATGCCTGTTTTTGAAGCTAAAACTTGGAGGATTTACTCTTTGATTCCCTAAAGTTTTATTTCCAGACTGTAGCCATGCCTGACAGAGACAGGTGCCTGAGATCTAAAATTAAAACARTGACCCATATTCTAAATGTCAGATTAACATCTCTTAAATCTGTGTGAATTACTTGTCTTGATGCTATATCCATACTGTTATTGCATGTCTTTACGGTTTCTGTGAATGCATTGTTTGCTAAATTAATTTGACCCCGTGCTGCCTTTACATGTCCTCATAAACCACTAGACAGCTTTTACTGTTGAAAAGTGTTTAGATTATATCACATTATTTTTTTAGATTTATAAAATTGATAAAATTAGCAATTTCAGTAATTGATAACTTTTGAATCTAACCTGTAAGTTATGTTATTTAAAWAAGTATTAAAGTAGCTTCTTGTCATTTTTATGAATATGCAGAGAGGCAGTAACTCTTCTTTGTCACTGGGTGGCGCTGTTAACCCATATAAACGCAAAGCTCCATGCTGCAGATTCTGCGTGCGCAGCTATTCTGAACCTTACGACCTCGTTTGATCAACAGCTATGCTAACTAGCTCGAATCCTTTGCGAAATGCTTCCCAGCAAGCTGATGTTACCGCAAATCCCGCTTATACGGTTTCTGGTCATTTTTATGGGATGCCGCTTAGTTAGTTAACTGAACCAATAGGCTCCGTGTTGTCTTCGAGTTCTGTCTCAAACCGGGTGAGTAAAGGGATACGTGATATCAAGCTAGCAAGAGCTAATATGGCTAGCTAGCTAGGCAGGTTGGACAAGGTTTGAGGGCATAGAAATAATGAAGATGCTTTGATTTAATTTCAGGTATAAGTCAGGAATACTTGGCTTCACATAGCCACTAATTGGTTTGTGTTGGGTTACAAGAAACTGGGCAGCAGAAGTGTTCACCTCTGACCTCTTTACCTGTTTATCAGTGATTTAAGTTGTTAGGTGGGGGGCTTTAAGTTTAAATTATGATCTATCTACAGATACTCAAATATAATTATTATCTGTTCTGTAAATTACTGGTTCTACATTGTTAACATTACTAAAGGTTTGGAATAAGACAGTTAAATCTGTACTGTAACAGACTTGTTAGTTTGTAACAACACTTATGTAGATGATCTGAAATTGAAATTTGATTATCTTTTGTGTGGATATCCACGGCAAATTAATATTGGAGGTAGCAGTTACTAAATCATTATGTATTGTTTTACCTGCAAGCCTAAATTTACTGCATACCCAGAGGATTAATTTGGCTCTTTTGCTACATTTTTCWGTTATATTTCCCGTTAAAGTGTAGATTAGTTAATTCTCCTCAGTATTTGTTTAATGCAAGTTGCTCAAAATCTGAATTCCCCCATGTTCCTCTTGTCTTGTCTTCACAGAGTGAATTTATTATTTTTTATGCAGCATTATTAGGTTTGTGTGGCAATGCAGAGAAGTGTGCTTAACATCACAAACACCCCCGTGGATTAGTTTTGTTTATTGTCTGGGAGGATTATAAAGATTTATGTTGAGTGAGCTCACTCTGAAATGTTTCTGTTCCTCTTTTCCAGCCCTCAACTTGAAGGGGAAATGATCCAGCTGAGCGTCCGTCGCTGGACGCCCAAACACGTTGCCAAATGGCTGAGAGAAGAGGGCTTCTGTGACTACGTGGATCTTCTGTGCAACAAGCATCGACTGGATGGCACCAGTCTGCTCGCCCTCAGTGAGTACGACCTGCGCTCGCCGCCGCTGGAGCTCAAGGTGCTCGGCGACATCAAGAGGCTCATGGTGTCCATCCGCAAGCTTCAGAAACTGAACATTGACKTGCTGGAGGAGCTGGGTGTTCCCTTTGACGGCCTCTCTCCTTCTAGCTCCGGCAGCAACTCGGACTGGCTGTGTAACGGAGAGCAGGGCAGRGACTGCGACAGCACTGACACGGCCCCGGTGGGAGAGGAGTACAACCACAGCCAGTACACTAATGGGAAGTACAAGCAGCAGATGAGACGCCTGGACCCAGAGTACTGGAAGACGGTGCTCAGTTCTGTGTATGTGGTGTTTGTGTTCGGGTTTACGTCCTTTGTGATGGTCATCGTGCACGAAAGGGTGCCGGACATGCGCACATACCCTCCACTGCCGGACATTTTTCTTGACAGGTTAGTATGATTGCTCTCCTAAAGCTTATTTATAACGCACACTATGAATCAGCTGTAAAATGCAAAATATAACCTTTTATGCATGCATGTTTTTGTCGTATTTACATTTATTTACAAGTAAAACTACAGATGCAACGCGCCTGGTGGTCCATTTTATAGTAAATCATCTGTAACAGATGTTTGCTGGTTACTACTCTCTTAAACACCCCCTAAAATCAAATCCATCAATAATTTTTTTCTTTATAATATAGATATTTCAGTTTAGATCTCTCAATTAATACATTTATTCCATGTCAGAAAATAATAAAAATGTAATCTTATTTTAATTTTAAACAGCCAACAGAGACCTTTTTCTTTTCATCATTAGGGTGGACTTTTTTAAATAGTTAATCTGGTTTTTAACCTCTTAAGCCCCCAATGGTTTTTCTTGATGGTTTTGCTAGAAATACCATGCTGAAATGTAACTGAGTGTATCTCAGCATTTACAAACTCTACTTAAATAATCTTGGTATCAAAATAAAGCTAACGCTTGGGAGATTTCATCAGAATTGTAAGTATTACAACAGCTGCTGTTGTTTTAGAGACATTAAGGATGGAACATATTTTTTATTTTACTTTTTTTTCCACTCTCGTCTGAACAAGTTTTGCATTTGACAGTATTTAGCCCATTTAAAACCATAACAAACGAGGAAACTTTTGGAAACCATAAATCCACTTGTGGACATGACCTGTGCAAAGATTCATGCTGCTAAATTGAACTGGAGCAAAGTTACAGAGGTTTTAGTAAAGAAATAATTTTGCGTTTAGTCATTCTGCACATGTGATGGTATCAATGTGGATGGACCAATATTTGCGTTTTGACTCCCACCACCCACTGGAACACAAGTTAG